GCGTTGCACATTGCAAATAAGTGTACAAACAGCTTGAAAGTTAGACAGCGTACCTTGTAATCGAAGACTGTATTCAAAATTTGCTACTTGAGTGAATCATGATATTGTAATGTTGAAATGTAATAGTAGTAAATGAAGATGGATCACTCGAAACCTCGAAACCTCGAAACCCCGAAACCTCGAAATTTCGGAAAACATTTAGAAAACAATACGAAATGTTTCTCGAACTACAAGTCAATAGTAATTTGTATAAGCAACTTATGAGAATATTGCAACGAAGATGAATTTATTTTTATTTAAGTAATGATAATCCAGTGGAGTTTGTATTTAGACTTTAGATCCGTTTCAATCGGCATGATTCCACCGATCTCTTATCAGCGTTTATATCGAGGAAAAATAATGTGATTTTGTGAGAAACATTTGTTGAAATTGTGGTTGCTGAAAAAATAGATACTCCTTAGAAAAAAGAGAAGAAAAGCATATGGACTTTCGGAAGCTTCGAGAACTGCGACATCTCACAAAGTTTCAGATTCGAGTTTCACGAGTCTAAAAATCAGATTTCGACCCACCTCTAGTGATAACCACGTTTTCATACAGCTACTGGAGGCCACTTATAGCAATTTAGAGTCGCTAACGTGACATAGTCGATGTGATGGTGGTCACTTATGACAATCGTTGTTTACACATTCGTATTTGCTTTTAACTAGCCATGACCGTTTACAGTTACTTGTAACCATTTGCAGTTAATCACAATTAGAATCATATGTAGTTACTTATACTATAATTAGTCATAATTGTTTCTAATTATAGTCATTTGTAATCATTCATTTATAGCAGCGTTTAGCTACTCATATGAGACACAACTACGTATTATGAGAAGCTCAGCGAAAAAGGTGACTGTCATTCGTAGTCAGTCATAGTGATTCGATATAATTACATACAATCTTTAGGATATATAGTCGTATTTAATTATTTTTACTAATCTAGCTTGCAGCTGTTTATCATTTTATCATCAGATGTTAACACCCTTCGTGGAAATTATTTTCATACGAATACTTCGAAGTAATTCTTGTAAGCATGCTTCAGGCGTAGTTCTACGAACGGTGCATTTTGGAGAATTTGAATAATTCTTGATAAAATAAATACGGAGAAATATTTGCGTCTTTTCATATATTTCCCTGTCATTTTGATTTTCTTTGACACGAATTTCATATCTGATCGTTATCGATAGTTCTAACGTCATTGAAGATTCGTTTCGCGTAAGTAGCGTGACTATGGACGATCTCCTACAAACGAAAAGCGAGCGCAAACATTTGTCTGATCGATGTTGGATCCACGGAGTGGCGGATCGAAAAGACACAAAGAATAAAGAAATAAAAAAAGAAACGACCATGTGCATTCGCAACTGGAGAACATAACGCGTGGTTAGAAAGCATGCGAAGAAACTGCTTTATTACGTGAAACCTAGATACGTGGAACGACATTAGCATCGCGAGTGGGGGTGGCGAGAGCGATAGTTTGTCGATTCTGCGTGTTCGAAACCAAAGAAGGGCAAAGTGAATCGAATCCAGGAGGTAAAAGTAGGCTCGTGATTGCAAAAAGTTCACGGCAGCTTGAGAATCGCGATTACCGCTTCCTCGATTCGACAATTTTTTTTCCTCGCCTTATTTCGGCGTGGTCTCCTTATACGGAACTATTTCGAAACACGAATAACAATTAAACAGGAAGCTAAATACCTTGTAACAAATGTGACCTGTAAAAACAATTTATCTTTATGTTCTTTTCCATAAATAGTTACAGGATCATCGATCAGTTTAAAGAATTGGAATACGTCGCTTGAAAAAGTTCTAGTCATCAATACTGAACGATAATAAAACGAGAAGGTAAGTATGTTGCACGAGACACGGTCTATCAAATTGTCAATCTATCTAGAGATTAATTTTAACGTTTTCACTCGTTTAATTTCAGAATCACGTAATCAAAACACTCAAAGAATTGATATCCATTGCTGGAAAAGATTCTAGTCATTCATAACGAACAACGATTAAACGAGGTGATAATTAGTTTACACGAAACGAGATCTTAAAATTTTGTAGATCTATTTAAAAGTTTATTTTTGAAAACTAAGTTACCTACGAAATGTTTGCCAATAATTCATTCACGATATTTTAAGATCCTTCACAATCGGTAATTACAGAATCATCGATCAGAACCTCCGAGAAATTGAAATCCATTGGTTAAGAGAATTATGGTCATCGTGGCGAGTCGAGGTAATCGACGTATCTCCGCTTAAGCCGGCAATTACGTCTCCTATCAGTTGGAACAAAGCGGTAAAAGCAATTCTTCGCCAGAGTAAGCGGAAATAATCCTTGAAATCGAAGGAAAAATGGATCCAGGTAGGGCCAAATGATTTATACGGTATACACAAGCCGGATACGACGGTTATGTGGGCCACGGTACTCCTCAAATTCACCGACCGTAACCTGAAACGCACTGCCATGGGCAACCGGCGTAAAGTCCTCCCTCCTGTTCACGATCCGCGATGCCACCGATTCGATGCTAGCCGCTAACTCAAGAAACAGCTCGATGAATCACTGTACTGTTGTTCTGTCTGTGCTTCTAACTATGTACTCTTGACACGGCCACTTTCACGATCGAAAGTACGGAAACGAATCTATTTTTTTGGATAGGAAAAACGAGTGGAACATCAATCTATAATTAAGCAGCATTCAAATTTTGACGGAATGACGAGACGTGGTATATTGGGGAGAATTTCAATAGGAGAAATATTTCGTCTTGTTTAGGTTATTCTATTGCACGTATAAAATATTATTCTTTCTAATTTAGCGATTGTCTATTCTGCTTTATTTAATTAAAATAGCTTATCTTTTATTTAGAAACTACAGAATAGTTTTATTATTCTCTTTATGCCACTTTTGTTTCCTATCGTTCAATTTAAGAATGTTTAGTCGTCGTTTAACACAGGTTGCACGATATAACTTTATTTGAAAGATAAAGGCACAGGAAATATCAAATATTTCAATATATTTTGAAAAATGAAAGAGCGTTAGACATGATATTTTAATTAAGGGGATACATCAGGTTACTGTGTATAAAATATATTTCTTTCTAAATTTGAATTTTGCAGAGACTTTATCCTATTCTTGGTTATCAACCAGAAAAGAAACGTTCTGTAAATTACGTACATTTAATGTTAAAAAGATCGATCATAAAAGTATACGTATAAGCAACATTTCATATGCATGAATCGAATAGATATTGTTGACCCGTATAATTAGCGTTTTGTATTGGAAACAATCGAGCAATTAGTCTAACTTTCGAGCTGCTTCATCATCCACACCCTCTGCATAAGATCCGACCACTTACCACAAGAATCCTATTAGACGATCAGAATCAGCAGTGGCACTATTTCACTCTCTACCACTCAAACTTCCAGTTCCGTCTCGCTTGTTTCGCGTATCAACGATCGGCAGCGAGCATTCCTCTCAAATCATCATCGTTCTTCACTAACAATTCACTGTAGTCAACATAACGTTTTGAAAAATGATACTTTCAACCCCTCTTGCAATCATTTCATCACAGACTAAAGCTTTGCGGTAACATCGCGAAGAAAACACCGTCAGCGACGCGTCGTCTTCTTTAAACAATCGTTATAGCTTACGTTACATGTGAATTAAACAAAAAATATTAACTACATATCACGTGTGAATTTTTCAAAAATACACCACGGTCAAATATCCGCAAATAAATATCGAAGGAATAATCTTCGAGTTCTTTCACCCTGTTCCTTCCTATTTCTTCGATTTTCACGTTTGAAGAGCCGTAAATTGGACTCTGCTGCTTTCGATATTTATTTTCCCAGATATCGTAGATTCTTTGAATATTTGTTTCAATATTAATTTTCCTACATGTACTATATATTTTTTAAATATTAATTTGAATAGTAACAGAGGATGCTTTAAAACTAGCACCTGTTCGCTTTCGACCGGCAGAACTCGCTACTACGAAACATGGACGAGCAAAGAGACGCGGTAGACCGGCACTCGGGAAGTCGGTTCTCCATTGTTAGGAAGGGGGAATCGACGACCAACCGAGCGCCTTCCTGGCCCTGCTTCGAACAGGTGTTTACTTTCGTTGGCAGGAAATTGGACGACTACGTGTCTGCCATTGCACATGCAACTGCTCCTTCTCTTTCCTTCTTCTGGTTTACGTGAAAGCCGAAAATTTTGTGTCTGGGAAAACGATGAAACGATTCGAACGGTGACTGTTTATGGGGCACGGCCCATTGTTCTGCCATTTCTGTACAGTATATGTACTTTTAATTGTACCGTTGAATGTTTCTGGGGAAGGGATAATTGTGTCTCGTTTGGTTTCAGTGTGTGTACGCCATGGAAATTGTTGCGAATAGGGTTGATGATGAAAGGGATGAAGAAGGGATGGACGTCTTAAATATTGACAAAGTGCAGAAAATTCATTGGTTTCTTGAAAATACGTGATGTACGTGTGTACGTGAGTGGTAAACTTTTAGTGAATGGAAAAATATTTAAGTTACGTAAAAGTAGAATATGTAAAGTAGAGAATTAATAACACGTATACCTAATCGATAAAGCTGGTTGTATGCAAGAATTTACATATTCGTTGAATTTTATACGCGAGCGCGGATGATGGACTTTTAGTGAATGGAAAAAATATTTATTAGGTAAAAGTAGAGTAGTTGGTTAGAGGATAAAGTTGGCTGTATGCAAGATTTTATAGAGAGGAATTTATCGTGAGGTGATTGAGAAGGCGTTGAGCTTCACGCGATCGCGTGTTGAAGAGTGTTGGATGAATGCACGAAACGTCGATATCTGTTTCATAAAATTTTTGAGTAATTCTTAGGAGGATCTTCTTGCCCGAAGTAAAAGTAAAAAGTAGAAGATCGATGGAAATAATCTTTTTTCTCGAAGCACAGAAATTTTTACAAACATAACTATAATGTATATAATCTACTACGATCTAAACAAAGAGCCTAGAACGTTATATTTATTTTTCAACTAAATTTATAGAGACACATATTGATGCATTCACATTAAGGGTGTTCCATTCCACTGTATGCAAGCATCCTGCCATCTAAAAAAAAAGACAAAAGGTTTGAACGTGTATAGAAACTTTTCCTGGATATATTACGCGTGTTATACGAAAGATTTTGTATGGTATACGACCTGGTAGGACTTTGATTACATTGGTAAAATCTAAACCAATACATATAATATTCATAAAAATTTTCTATGATATGTTCAAACATTTCTATGAGTCACTGTGTAATGAGAAGTATTCAGAAATGAATAGAAATTGCAGTAATTATTCACTTGGAACGAATAAGTTTCTCCAAGGGTGTTGCAGCAATGTCCATGCATTCTTTGCTTGGGCCCTCGAACTCTGAATCATTTCCGGAATTCGACCTGGTGTCCACGGTCAAAATGGCATGGCTGCCGCCGCATGTGAAGTATTGAATCTCGAAACTTGCACAAGTAAATGAAAAAAATTACTTAACGAGGAATATAAGGCGATCAGTAAACTGCAAATTGTATACATTTATGAGAACTTTAAATACGTAAAAGAATGTGCATAATATGTGAAGATATATAAAGTTTGTAAAATAAAATTTTATTGTAATACTTAAAGGGTGAAACAAATCTCTATTCAAATTACGTTTCTTTAATTTACGAAATATACATTTTCACAGAAATATAAATTTGTTTAAAAATCCGTGGTCGGGTAATCAACTATATATATATATTTCTTTCTACGATACAATATTATTCTTTCTATCAATTACGATAGATAATCAGATAAATGTTTTGATTAAAAAAAGAAGAAATAGCATACCGTCGTTCAGCGTGATAATTTCTAAGTAATTCCCGGTTGGTATTGAACAAGACACCGTGATGGCCGTGACACAGAGTAACCCAAATTGGCAAATTCGGGGTTTTCAAACGAGATCCTGGTTGTTTGTTCAATTGTCCATCACCCTCGTGCACCAGAAATCCTACTTCGCTCCTCACAAGGACACCCCATTGTGGTATAGCCTTGACATTTACACCGGAATGTCAAAATGAAGCTTGGGAACGAGGAACAAAGAAACTACTCACGTATGTGTTTTCATCCCCAACGTGTAGCACCCCATTATGCAGATGAGGCGAAGCACGACCAGTTAATGAGAGAATTACAACGCTTATGGGACCTTCCTCTGGACAGCCGCTTAGTATCGAGCCTTTTGGATCTTCTAGATCGGCTTGTACCCTGTACGGGTAAAAATAGATCGTTTCTTAAACATAGCTTTTATAATTGTAAAATTAACGATCGACAAGGTACAAATCAACTCTGATCGGGTTGACAGCCATGGTATTGTTTATTTTTATGAAACATTATACGAATTAAAAAGTAGGAAGTCTACGAATAAAGAGATTATTATTTATACTCAAAAGTTAAACAAGTTAGCGATCTTTTTAAACAAACATTCTAATTATGATCCTTATTACGTGAACTTATTAAAATATGCAATGGTATAGAATAAATATATGCATAGATGTATAATGTAATGTATATAGATGTGTAAAAGTTTACTTAGAAAGTCCTCTGGAAAGCACAGCGCTGTACAATAATAATTTAGCACCAGGGCCACCCTCGTCTTGAAACTAGAGTAATGTCACACGAAACAATTTAATTATAAAAGTTCTTGACACCTTACTAACAGAATATTTACCTAAGCTTACCAAATATAAATATCTTTTAATAAATATCTCCAAGTCTCCCAAAGAATCAAACTCGAACAGGTGCAGCTATAAATAAAAGGTTTCAAGATATATGAACTGTCTTATGAATTCGTGAAAGAGTATAAAGCCATTGTTTGGATCAGTGCCAATAATCCAATGCAAACTACAACTTTATCGAGAAACCAATGACCCGCTAATGCGACGTTATTAACACATTCTAGTAATATATTAATACATATTAACGTAACGTGTATAAACGTAATCGTTAATAACGTAATTGGCCACTATGCTGACATTCGTTATGATTCAATTACAGGAAAAAATGTCCATTTTCTATTCTTTATTTATTCACGTACGGTCTCCGTGAGACCATCCTGGAAGTATTGCACGCTATGTTGCACATAGGGCGTCTCTTGCGGCAAAGCTACCACGGCCCTGGGCGCATTTGCGTTTCCCGTGACACTCTGATTTGGCGAATAACCAGTACTTTGCACGGCGAATCCACCGGCGCAACGCCAAATGATCTCTGCTATCGTCAATGTCAAGACATCGATCTGTCTATCGTACGATGGCTTCAGCATGCTAATTTGTACAGAAATAAGATTATTTAAAGTATTCTTCGCTCAGAAATTTGAAAATGATTAATTACAGATAACCGATGAATGCGAATTCTTATGCGTTTATTATATTAACGCGTAAAATACAATTTAAAGGATGCAAATGTTAAAGATGCCTAAATGTATAAGAAATATAGTGGTTCTAGAGGTGAAACTTTGGTGTACTACACGTTGAACAGATTTTACCTTTCTGGATTGGCATGAGTGTCTTGTCTATTACATTTAAACAGGAAATGCTTGAGCATTGTAGCCTGAACAACAGTTACGAGACCCCTGGTCGTATTTCTCGGTGCTCGCAATCCAAATGCCAAGCTTTGTCCGTAAGGTCGTAGGGTGAATCCGGTTCTTGCCCATTCCGGTCTCGGTGGACTGGCACAACTTCCGAAAACCAACGTTCTCAGGGTCTATAATACAAAACGTAAAAGAAAGACAGACATTACATTGAGAAAATAATATTTTTCTGTCAAAACGGCTCAAAATTGTACATATACGTATAAAGGAGCGAAAAATCTTCCGAATACTTAAATTTCTAACAAAGTTTCATGCTTTTAAATGCACATCTTACTGTCCAAAATTAATAAGACCGATAACATTAAAAAAAAGAATATACTTAATAAAAATGATAAAAATTAATAAAAAAGGATCTATCGCCCAGGAGAAGTATCTCAAACAATTGATTTCTATTTTAATTCGGATTTCATTTAACGAATTACCATGCAAATCTTCTCTTCGATAGGTTTTCCTCCAATCACAGCAGTCTTGACCAACGTCCTAGTGCTTCTCGGATAAATGATCTTCTCTGTAACAGAAAAAGCTCAAAACATCATCTTCGTCGATCCTTCCTGCTTCATGCACAATAATCCTTCGAGTTCTCCACCTGGATACAGTTCGTCAGGCTCTCCCATTAGAGCCGCACACCTGGCTGCTCTAACAGACAGCAACATATTTCTTAAATTTCAATCTCACACATCAACGAACACGCTGGAATCATTTATGAAGTATACGATAAACAAATTTACATAATATAGCAAACAAATTTATTCTAACAATAAAATAGGGGATTAAATCGTGAAGAGCGAGAGATTTTCGAAAATGAAACATTTAACACTCGAACTACCAATGACTAAAGCACGAAGCTTGTACCGAGGAAATCGGAACGAAAAGTAGGAAGAAATATTCTTGCAGAAGGACGATTACGAGATAATTTTATTTCGCGATTTTTGGTAGCACCATTCGTATTACTAAATACATGAAGTTTGAGCTCAAGATAAAAAGAGAATCAAAAGAACACGGCCAAAAAGGTTTGACGTTAAAATTTCGGTACTTGCAGAACTTTCTGCAGACGTTTAATTTTATTTGACGATTTCTGGTAACACTGTTACACTGCTCAACATCCAAAAACTTTGTCGATGCATCTAATTCACTACACTTTGTGTAGTTCGCACTTCACCAAAAAGCGTTCAAAGCCTCCAAAAATCCTCGTTCGCAAAGTTGTGTCTAAAATTTCGATAAGAACTTCAACGATAAGAAAATATTCCTATAGGAATGATTTTGAAACGATAGAATGAAAACTTATTTCTAGAAAGATTATTAATGTCGAGGATTATAGATTGTCAGTTTGTCCGCTCTGGTAGTTCTAGTGTTAAATAACCGAAGGGTGAAAGGAAACTTGTGACGATTGTCACCCGCTGCACACTGGCACAGCCAACACACCAAGCAATCGAATATCAATTGGGATTCGTGCCGAATTCCAGGTCCCTTTATATACGCCGATCCCAGCTTGATATCGCGACGAGTCCGTGAAACTTTTGGCCGCACGAAACTCGTCAATTCGGACGTCCAAAGACACTTTACTCGCCAGGATAAGCGATAGACATGCCCTAATAACGTCTGTCTGTCGTTCTACCAGGTGTACGATGTGCCACGCAAGCAACTTAATCATCTGTTTTAGGATGAAACTTGCGGTTTGAAACACGTGCAGCTTCTATTGGATTCGTAGATGTCAGATTATGGCAATTGAGATGTAATTGATAACACGGGCATTAGTACGTTTGGAATTGAATAATATGCGAAGAACGAGGTAGAATATTTTATTTTATTTATAACAATTAGATTTTCATATCTTTTCGAGATCTTCGATATTTTTTATCAGGAAAGCTCCTATTGTGTTTTGTAGCATCGTGTCATTTTGGATGACATTTATAAGCCTCGTGACACGAAAGCCTGTGAGACCAAAATTTTCAAAGAACTTTATATAAATCCTTGAGATTTCAAAAATTGATTTTTTATCGATATTAAAATCGTTCGTCCTATATGTATATATCGATTTCCCTGAAAAATGTATTACACGTAATTTTTATGATGATAAAAAGTGCAGATCATTGTTTAAAGAAATACAGTTAAAATTGATCATACATCGGACTATGTACTGTGTATTAGATTTAATAGGAAACCTACGTAGCTTACCACAAAATTAGAGACACTAATAGGGCTAAATTTTTAATGCAATTGTTGCAATTACTCGAATCACTGGATGTAAAGCTAGCTTCCGCAATCTTGTATCTAGAGCGAACGAAGATCGAGAAGAAGAATGAGCGATATTGTTTCACCGAAGTAATCGCGTTATAACGTAAAGTAATCCGTACCTCATTTCATTTACCATTTCACTGTTCCCTTTTTACACGTATGCCATTTACTCGACGTGTATTATTGTTTCACGCGAATCGTTTCGCGTGGCACGCGAGCTTTAAAAAAACGTATGTACGTGTGGATCGGATCCTTTTTAGCCTATACGCTGTTACGAGCTTCATTTTCGTTCTCTAATAATAGTTCTGGTACCTGTCTGCGATCCCCGTTACTCGAAACATCGTTTTTAGACAAATGGATTTTCTAGATTTGAAATATACTCACGTATTAACATATACACGTATAATGGCTCACGAAAGTATTCGAACACTCTTGGAAACTTTTTATGATACAGGAAACTTTTTAAAAACTCATTAGCACAATGACGAGACACGGCTCGATTATATTGGCAAAATTTTAAATGGACCTAAAAATATATATATAGAAGTTACAATCGTTAAAGTATTTGAAGAGTCAATTACTGACTATGTTAATGAGCTTAAATGTTAAGCCTATGTTAATAAGATTAAATTTTCATTAAGCGTATGTTTACAATAAATGTTTTGCAACTTCTTCGGATATACATTTTCCGATTGGTTTCAAATATTTCTATTGTAATTATTATTACTATTTTTTTAAGCAATGACCTGCACTGTGTATCATAATAAAAAGTACGTGTCATACATTTTTCACGGAAATCGATATACACATATAGGACGAACCATTTCAATATCGATAAAAAATCAATTTTTGAAATCTCAGGGATTTATATAGTTTTATGAAAATTTTGGTCTCACAGGCTTTCGCGTCACGAGGCTTATAAATGTCATCCAAAATGACACGATGCTACAAAATACAATAGGAGCTTTCCTGATAAAAGACACTGACGATCTCGAAAAAATATGAAAATCTAATTGTTATAATTAAAATAAGATATTCATAGAAAGATTTATCTGAGCGAATTTATCTGAGACCTAGATAACTCCAACAGAAATGAGAATAATTAAAACTATGACTTGATTAATTACGCGTGTTACTGTAAAAAGCGCACGTTTCAAACGCAATCATATAAACCTCATTTTCATAGTTACTTATTTTTTCATTCTACTTATTCCTACTTAATGTCTATAGTAACTCTTTGCTTCGTATTGTTCGATACTTAAACAACTGAGTCTACAGAAATTTATTTTCTCTTTCAAAGACATACCTATACATTTTATTCTACGTAAATAATATTCTCTATTATTATTAACAGCGAATAACACGTGATTATTCGTTCTACGAATTAAGGGATAACGGAGGGCTGTTCTCTAGTATGTGTACGTCTCGAACGTACTTTTCAGAATCGCGTGCTCGCGTGTAATCGAGTCTATCGAATTACGAATTCACGTCGGAACAGGCATCTGCATTCGTCGATTACACCTACCGATATAATGCGGTTTAATTTGCACCCGCGATCCATCGATCTAATTCGTCAGCTAACACTTGACGATTCTTGGCGAAGCATCGACGAATTGGCCCATGGAAGGTGAAATTTAATTCATTCGTCGTCAAGCTCTCCATCGCTCTGCAACGTTTCCGTTTACTTCTTCTTCTATAAAACTGTGCTACTTTGTTTCGCAATACCACAGAGAAAAAACGTGATTCGCTCGTTTCTTCCGGTGTTGAACGAGACCGGCAAAATGAAACGTACAACGTAACATTTCGTTTACCGATAAGAAATTTGTATTTTCGAAGGATACGATTTTCTGTAAAATCAATCAAAAAATGCCATCTTCTTTGGATTATTTTAAATTCAATCGTGTTTTCTTTCATTCTTAGTAAATCTCTTGAATTTGAGAAGAGTATGAAAGGAACGTTGTTGATGGATCTCTTGAAACGTTAAAAATCTCTCTGCTTGTTAAACGAAGAGTGTCTTTCGAGACGCAAAATTCAAAGACCACAGAGCAGGCTTCAGTGTTAAATAACGCGAATAATTAAGTGAAATGTACAAATAATTATACGAAAGTGTACGTGACCGTGTTTTCTATCTTAACACGTGCAATTAAGAAAGTTTACAGACAATGATACATGACTGCATCGTTAATCAATCAAGTCAATGTGCGAAATTGGATTTCAGAAGTGTCAAACTCGGATAATGGTGAAGGTGAGCTATGCTAAAAATTGGAATTGAAAATGTGAAAAATTGTACGTGCGAATAAGCAACGTTTATTTGCATAAATAATTAAAAATAATAATTATAATAATTTTAAGTAATTAAAAATTCCCTAACCGTTATTAACAATCATTATATCCTTTCACAGTACCTTTCTGTCGAAGGTACACGGGTTTCTCAGATCGCATTTCCGTACAGTGTTTCTTGCCACGCACCGTCGTCGCTGAGGACGACGTGGACGTCGAACACGAGTTGGTACTCTCCTCGATTTCCTCTGTTTCCTCCATGTCTTCCGATTCTCTCAAAATCCACTCACGAGTCTTAAAGGTTCATCAAACTTCTACAAACACTTTAACATAATCTACGGAATGTGAGCTCGCTTGAATGTAGAACGATAACAATCGTAAAACAATTAATTCATCAATCTGCGTATCTTACGAACGAAACATGATTACTATCTGCTACATAGAATGTAGTCTCTATATTTTATAAATGAAACGTGATTACAATCCACTAAATAGAATCAAACGCCTTATTCTTTTCTTGTATATAAACATTTTATTTACTTATATCGAAGAAGAATCGTTGTTTGGTCCAAATAACGTTTGTCTTTCTCGTAGGATTTGATATGCGTGAAATCGGTGGATATTCTTTGTTAAAATAATCTTAACAAGTGGAGGAAGCAGTCAAGTGCTCGTTGCTGCATCGAGCTACCCAGACTGACAGGAGTTAATAATTCCGGTAGGTTTTGGCCGAGTCGGTTCATCGAGCCGCGCACGAGCTTACCATCCCACCAAGCTAACGGATACGTATATGCATAAGAGCGGGCCATGAACTCGAGAATTCGAAGGCCCGACTGATCTAACACCTCCGTCAACTATTAAGGAACGAGAAAATCCTTGATCCGCTCGCTGGAAACGAGATTCGTGCCTCAGATTAATCAGTTTAGTCTTCGGTTAACTCCACTATAGTTCGCCAATTATTACGTTTGACGAGTTATACAAAATCACGTAACAATAGTTTATTAGCGAATTTTTCGTGCGCTTTTATATCTTTATGACGATAATTAAATAAATGGAACTTATACACTGTATATATTATACACTAAATATCATAATAAATATTCTACTTTGAATATTTTACATATTTCTGTATATTACATGTACTGTGTACATTTCTACATTTTTAAATGTCCCATAAATGCAATAAAAGCCCTCAGCCTCATAACAAGTCATCTTTTATTTGTGATAATTATTTAAAATCTGCATCTATTCGATACGCCGTACAAGAATAACATAGTAGCGCTCGCAAATAATTCCCCATGAAATAAATAAGCATTTCATATTACTTATAATCGCTTATATATTCTTCATATTTGAAGATCATTCGCTTACTGAAATCCTCGACGAACTCGAATAACGCCTGTATGTATGCACATTGCGCATCACGAGTGCATTCTCGTAGAATACAGTTTTGTTTTCACGTGCAACGTGATAGTTCGTCTCGCATACGTGTTATCTGGTGACTTTATCGTAGTTACCGATCTTTGCATGCGTTTCGTGCCATTTTCGTTCGATCGGAACGGATAATCGAGAACATGTAAATGTCTGTAAATAGATCTGTTTAACATTCGGAGGCAAGAAAGTGAAAATACTTTGTAGCAAAAGTATTGGAATCGTACACCATCGTAGAACAAGCAGGCGAAGGATTTTATTTTTTTTTTCGATCTTTTATTATAATTATACTTAAATATCGATTAAATTTACAAGTACGTTTACAACACTCGACGTTAAGACTAGATACTATAATTGTATCGCAATCTGCGTATGAAACAATTTCAACCAGATCCCTATTTAGGATTCGTTAAACTTCGTGCAGGAAGCGTGTCTTATCATTCTCTGCCATAATTGCTAATTTCCCAGCTATCATGCCGCTATAATCAAGATTACGTCGACTGGTTAAGTTCAAGTTCGCGCTGGTTCGAAATAGATGCTCTATATTCGGCCTTCGGAAATACGATCAAAAGTTTCGAATTCGAGCGTATTACATGTGTACGTGCATGCACATTTCTGCTACAAAGTGTGTAGCGCCAAAATACGCGGATCGTAAAACGCGCCATATTCGAAAAAGACAAAAACGTGACTTTCACCTGTAATCCTCAATTACGTTATGCCAATGATCATGTCGATAAAGTAGATACGATCATAATCTCATCAGTAGATAAAATTTTTATAGTATCTATGTATAATAATAAATTTAAAAATATTGTACGATATATTGAAATAAAATTTGAAAGTTTCCTTTTTTGGTATTTAAAAAAAGTATGCGATCCATGACTACCTGAAGACATCAAATTCTTTATCATTCTCGACTCGGAAATAATTCGACAGTGATTTGCTACCAATTCTATGAAATGTACTGTACTTCAATGCGTGAATTCTAAGAATTGTTTGCATGTCTACATTTACGCGTCGTACATAGCACATTGTGTCTGGTCTATTGCCAAAGTGCAATATGAAATTGAACTTAGAGTCGGGTGGCGTAGTACCAGGAGCGAAGTTACAGATTACGTGTTACTACGAGTATGTGGTTACTTAATGATCGATTAAATTTACACGTTCCTGTGAGAATGTTAGAAATTGGCGAGTCTAGAATCGATTAATCGTAGGCGTGTATTGCGTATAAATTAAGTAGAGTCCTTAGATGATGGTCCCTATTTTATAACTTTAAAGATGTTCAGATGAGAAGTACAAGACTTAAACATGATTTACAGCTTTATGTACATATGTATGTGTATTGTATTGAGTAAAAAATTTCAAATATACAAAATACAGCACTTTTAATTTTTTAATTACATTGTTCATTATTCCACTATATTAATACAACGTTTTCATTAACCTAAAGTTTTTTTCTTTAATTTCAATTATATCTTTATTAATATATACTTTTTAAAAATACATTTCTTTTATTATCCAAATCATTTTATAATAACAAATGTTACCTACGGTCGGTAAATTATTAAAACATTGATTAAGTATCTCGTCTGTGGTATAGATGTCTCTATAGCATTTTTAACAGTGCTCCAAAAATTACCAATATTATGGAGATGTGTTAAATAACCTATTATAAATTTTTATATTTATGTGAAAGATATTTTTCTTAATGTTATAATATTGCATAGTTTTCTGATATACAGAATATGAAAGACATTTAACAATTTGTTGAAAAAGCAAGGGTAATGATATTATATTAGAATTTATAACTACAATCTGCAACAACTTTTTCCTCGCAAAACAGTGTTTTTAATTTAATAGTACAGTCTGATACAGACTACGATCATATAAACAAGTTCTGACACTCCCTAGGGAAAACCGTCCGAAAATTGAATCGTGAAAAATCAACATAGAATGCAACAAACTTTTTGTTCTGCGTGCTAGACAGAGATAAGTAAAACATTTCTGTCTCTGTCTGAGACATTGATAGTATGTAACGCATGCGCACAACGAGAATCTTATTGTCTTCCATTTTGATTTTTCATGACTCAGTCGTCGGACATTTCCTTTCTGTATCCGGCTGCTTTTGGAATATTGGTGTAAAAACCTGTTTATATGATCGTGTTCCAAAACTCTTTTCATAATTATGATACAGTTTGATTGAACTTCGTCAATTAATCAGTTATAGTAGATCAATTCACTGCCGATTAAGAAAATGGGTAAACACGAAGTGGGAACACCAAAGTACATTGCTAATAAAATTAAGGCAAAAGGCTTGCAAAAATTGAGATGGTATTGTCAAATGTGTCAGAAACAGTGCAGAGACGAAAATGGATTCAAGTGTCATACCATGTCAGAATCTCATCATAGACAGCTATTACTATTTGCTGACAATGCATCCCGGTATATGGATCAATTCTCAAAAGAATTTTCTCATGGTTACTTAAACTTGTTGAAAAGACAATTTGGTACCAGACGTGTACCAGCTAATCGAGTTTATCAAGAATATATCTCAGATAGAGGACATATACATATGAATGCTACAATCTGGCTTACGTTAACTGCATTTGTTAAATGGCTTGGACGTACTGGCCAATGTGTTGTTGATGAAACAGAAAAGGGTAATTTTAATAAGTGTGATATTTTATATGTTCTGTAAAAAACGAGAAATATCAATTATTCTTTCTAATCATTGCTTTCTCTGTCCTTAGGTTGGTACGTAACATATATCGACAGAGATCCAGAAACATTAGCAGCTCAAGAAAGGAAAGCTAAAAAGCAAAAAATGGATAAAGATGACGAGGAAAGGATGATGGAGTTTGTAGAAAAACAAGTAGAAAAGGGTCAGCAAGAAAGTAACGGACAATCTGAAACTGTTAAAGAGCCGTTAACACGAGTTGATAATGATACACCACTAGTTCTTAACATGAAAATAAATAAAAAGCCAAAACTGCTTCCTATTATAAAAATAGAAAAAGCAGATAAAGGTTCAACTAGTACTGAATCAGTCTCTATGATTTCGAATATAAAATCCGAGGAATCAAGTAAGGGGTATATGGACAAAGAAACAAGGTCAATAAAATCAGAAAAACATACATCTAAATATAGCAAAGATGAAGATAGTAGAGAAGGATGGTTAAGAGAGGGTTTGATGGTGAAAGTAATTACTAAGACCCTTGGAGACAAATATTACAAGTCTAAAGGAATAGTTCAGTCTGTTGAAAAATCCAACTTTGTTGGGAAGGTCAAATTGAAATCGCCTGAAGAAGTCGAGAATCACGTTATAAAATTGGATCAGGAATATCTAGAAACCGTAATACCCGCCTTTGGAAAGCCGGTCATGATTCTTTGGGGAAAATACAAAGGCATGATGGGTGTAGTATATAAACTTCACATTGAAAGTTACAGTATTGATGTAAAATTAGAAAGGGATGACATTATTGTAAAAAATTTACCGTATGAACAAATTTGCAAATATATGATATGATTATTAGATGAGATATGTTATTTATAACATGATATTTATAACAATATATCTTGGTTAGCATATGATAAAGTAAAACATTATTGTTTCACTTGTATTTTAAAGATTTTTAATATTTATTGTAATATTGTTTAAATATTGCATTTGTATTCTGTATATATGTGTATATAATAAAATTTATATGTAACTTTAGTCTGTGCTAACTGATAGATCAAAATAATGTATATACTATGTATAGTCACTTAAATACCTAAAAGAGCACCTGTGTACAAAGTTTACAGCAAATGTTTAAAAAGCGTTAACTTTTTATGTACATTTATGTATTTTCCAAATAAAACTGATTTTTTAAATTATATTTGTCAATATATATGTTTATATTTATATTAAATAACTAAATTAATTAAAAATTGTAACATTAATATATATATGACTAAGTATTTTGGAGATTACAGTTTTAATGAACATATAACCTCTTAATTAATAGAATAAAAAAAAAATAATAATTTTATAAAATTTTCTTATGTTGATATAAAAATTGTTTACTTATTTTTCAATAAGATAATGATTTAGTATATTTTATTTCAAGAATAAAAACTTTTTATTAAGTCCCTAAGCAGAGGAAGGCGACATATGGCTTTTCGTTCCTCGATAAGATAACCTCCATACCATTTTATTCTGGTATTGTATGTTGCTGTCAGAAGAACAATTTTTATTTTTCGTAATTTGGTAAATTTCACTTATAAAGAAAGTAACACTTTTTTATAATTATTTTACATCAAGAATTAATGAAGTATTGTATGTTATAGAAATCGAATGTATAATATATAATTGTTCACTTAAATTTCTAATACTTAACATAATGATTACTTTATTTAACGGTAATAATTCTGATTCTGATGAAGAATTAAAAATAAATACGGATTATGCTAAAAACTATAACAATTGGCGGCAGAAGGAAGAATTAAATAAGTGTAAGTACATATAACTGACTTATAACCTCATGCATTAATGGATATTTTTGTCTAACAATCCAATATATTTCAGTAAAAACAAAATACGGAGACGTTAATGACGATACAAACTTAGATGAGAGTTCTGACAGTGAGAGTTCTTCTGAAAAAGAAGAAGAAAATGTATAATACAATATTTTACAAATATAACAAAATTCTGTATTATTTTATTAATTACATTTTTCTTTCATAGGAGCTGACACAGCAATTTGATAAAGATTTTTATAAGACACTAGCTCTTCTAAAAAATAAAGACCCAAAAATTTATAACCAAAATGTAACATTTTTTGATGATACTAATAAGGCACAGGAAGTATATATTGAAAAGAAGAAGCAAAAAACTAAAAAAGAAAAAGCTATTTTTCTAAGAGATTATGAAAGGAACATTATCGTGGAAAGAGAAGGGAAATTTAGCGACAGTGAGGATGAAAGTATACTCAAAAAAGATAAAGCAGAAACTAAACAAATCACATATGCACAAGAGCAAAGAGAACTAAAAGAAAGTTTCAAAGGCGCATTGCACGACGAGGAAGAGGAAGATGATTTGCTAAAACCAAAAACCAAATCTGAAAGTGAAAAAGCAAAAGTAAGCTGCCCTTGATCACTTCTTATTTTTTGTAACAAAACTGATGTTATGTTTATTATTTAGGAAGAGGCAGATTACAAGGAATGGTTGAAAGGACAAAGGACAAATATAAATGAAAATGAGCAGCAGGTACTTAAACCTCTGCGTGACTTTTGGTCTAGCTCTAATTTAGATGCTAATGAGAAATTCTTAAGGGATTATGTGCTTAATGATAAATATCTAGATAAAAATACGGGATCGGATGACGACGAAGATGACAATGAAGGCAGAAACTACGTAATTCACGACAGTGATGAGAATTTGTCAGAAGATGAGAAAAACATTGAAAAGCAAGAAGAATTTGAGCTTAAATATAATTTTAGATTTGAAGAACCTGATCAGGAATTTATTAAACGGTATCCGCGTAGCATGGAGAATTCTTTAAGAAGGAAAGATACTCGTAGAGCCGAAAAGAGAGCAGAGATAAAAAAGAGAAAAGAAGATGAGAAATTAAGGAAACAAGAGGAACTTAAGCAGTTGAAAGCATTAAAGAGAAAAGAAATCGAAGAAAAAATAGAGAAATTGAAGGAAATTACAGGGAATGACGATATTCAATTTAATGATATTGATTTGGAGGGTGATTTTGATCCTGCCAAATATGATCAAAAAATGAATCAAATTTTTAATGACGATTACTATGCGGTTCCCGAGGGGAATGCTAAGCCAGAGTTTCAAGATATTGACGAGGAACTAGGAATCGAGGATACCTGGGATAATTATGATCCAAATACAGAAAATTTGGCAGATGAAAATGGATATGAAGGACCGCATTGCGAGGATCCAGAATTTAATGTAATTGATTTATATTAATTATTTTTATTCCAAGAAAATAAACCAAAATTACATATAATTTCAGATGGATGCGGATTATAATCCATTGAAAAGAGTTCAGGAAGAAATGGAAATGGATTCTAAAAAAAGAAAACGTAGACGAAAGTCTAAGTTTGCAGAACTCATAGCAAAAGAAAAACCGAAATTTGATCCCCAACAGCATAAATCTTATGAAGAATATTTCGATAAATATTACTCGTTGGATTACGAAGATATGATTGGTGACATACCATGTAGATTTAAATACAGAGAAGTTGTGCCAAACGATTATGGTTTGAGCATAGAAGAGGTAAGTAAATATTAATATTATTTTTAACGATTTTATTTTTCTGTAAGACACCTTACTACGTCCTTTTTATTAGATATTGATGGCCGATGATAAAGAATTGAATAAATGGTGTTCCTTGAAGAAAGCTCTTCAGTACAGACCAGAACATGCTGAACTAAATGACGTCCAAATGTATAAACAGAAAGCCAAGAACGAGGCACTTAAAAGAAAGATACTTACAAGTTTATACAAGTAAGGCAGGAAGGATGGAAATTTTTTAAACTGATTTCGTACTATTTACTACAAACTGTATTTAACATTTTTTAGGGAAGCCGAGGATGACGAAGAGGGAGACAAAAAAGAGATCGCAACTACTACCAGCGTTAATGAAAGCATAGAAACAAAAAAGAAGAGACGAAAGAAGAAGAAAAAGATACAAGACGATCAGAACGATTCAGCCACTGTTGAGATTAATCACGAAACATCTAAATATAACAAACAATCTAATGAAAGTGATGAAAAGATAAAAAATAACGTTAATGTAACAGAAGAAAAATCAAAGAAACATGTGAAATGTGAAAAGCGGAAGCCAGAGGAACAGCATGAGCAGCCAAAGAAAAAGAAGCTAAAGATTAATAAGTTGGAAGAATCTATAAATTCCACCGAAAATAAAATTCACGAAGAAGAAAAAACTACAGGCGAACCTATTGATAAAGAATTTTCATCTAGAAAGAAAGTTAGTGATCAAAATCACAATAAGTCAAATGTCAAACATTCGAAAAAAACAAAATTAAAGGAGAAGATGATGAAGAAGAAGCTCGACAAAAAGAAGAAGAAGAATGGGGCAAAGGGCGAAAAAATTAGTAGTGACATTGCTTCATTAAATCCGGAAAGGTTAAAGGTATATGGAATAAATCCAAAGAAACTGAAAAACAAATTGAAATACGGAAAGAAGAAACAATAACTATGTCATATTGTAAATATAAATATGTACATATAATTTGTTATTATAATCGACTATCTTTATATTCCCCGCTTTCTTACGCCGCCGTGCGCGCCCTGTTCAATATCAATAAACATGCGGGGTAAACGTTTGGCGAGGATACGATGTGATCGAATACCCGCACCCTCAAGTAGGAGTGTCCTGTTGTTAGGGTAAATCCGTTTCGACATGATAAACGACGTTTGCGGATTATTAGAATCGTAGCAGCCTGTTTGAGTTTACTTTTCTAAAATCTCCATCTTAATCCATACCATATGCCTTGGTCAAGAAAATCTATCTCTCTGTTTCCGTTCAATGAACATCAGCCATTGATATTAAACAAATATTAACACTATTATTATTATCGTTATATTGTTTTGCAAAATTATTATTAAGAAATTATATTTCTTAAATTTATATAAAAAGAATAAATTTGCTTTTAAAACTGACGTTAAAGAAATTATAATATTTCTTATAAAATACATACATGTATGTAGAGTAGAAAGGAAGACAATGTAATATTTGTCAGTTAGAATAAAATTCGAAATTTAAAATTAATGATACGCTTTTGTACATGGCACTATTATACATGCAGACATACACTATCGTGGATTCGATCGCATTGACTGGAATAATTTAATCGGCAACAAAGCCCAGATATCTCTTACGAATGTTAGTTAACGAGAGGGGAGAGGATTAGGGATGACACGGTACTTGCACCCATCTAAACTGGTCTCTCTGTCCCCTTGGGTACAATATATCAATTCTCCTAGCCCCACCAGTATTCCACGGTAGCAGGTGGCTCCTGACGGCTACGCTCGTTCGCACCCTTAATTCTCAATTAATGTTATACCCGTTGTAAACGTGTATTTTATCCGTGCCGCGTAAGTTGCAATACTAAAATGAACTACATAAACACATACACAAAAAATAAAAAAAAAAAAGAAAAGAAAGAAAAGCTATATCGCGACGAATGAATAACGGGAATTAACAAAAGAGTACAGAGATCAGACAGAAAAGTTTGGAATATAATTTACCAACTGCTTTCATTTTATCGAAGAAAAAGGTTTTGTGATATTTTAGGAGGATGTTTAACGTAAAATCGAAACGTGAAATTGTGTTTAAACTGCGGATATTTTTTGACGAAAAATACGTTTGTTTGAGTCGAAAGTGATCGAAACTAGACTCCACGGTTAATGAAAATTTCTTTTCTTTTCCTCCTACCCAATTACTTGAAAATATTACGTGGTAATACAATTTTGGAAGCTTTCATTTTTTACTAAAATCACGCAGAGTTTCGAAAATTTGAAAGTCAGTAGAAGAACATTTTAGTTTCATCTCTGAATATTTCATTTTAGATTCTTCGAAGAGTAATTTAATTCAGATTTCCAAGACTGTTTAATCGCTATTTTCGCTAAGTAAAAATCGGTTAGGGGTTGTTCGAAGAAGTAGCTATTTTCACCGAATTACGAGCTATCCAGTTTCAAGATTACCAAATTTCACGGGCTAACGCCTCCATCTGGAATCGTATAGGGCGTACCAGGGGGTAGTGTAATTGAGGTATCATCCCTGTCCACGTCCTAATTGGCGGAAAATTGTCAGGGCGAATATCCGAGTAACTTGGCGAAGAAATTTGAGTTCAAGATACTATTTTGCTGCTTTCGACGAATTTATCATTTTTTGCCGGAAAATTCAACTTACAATTCGATTTATAATCGAAGAAAACAATTTGTAACTTTATTAATTGATATTAAATGATATTAATAAAAGAACTGAGAGAAATTGGATTTAACTTTAAGTCGAGTACAATTTCCACCGAAATAGATTTCTTAGAATAAAATCTCATCGGATTCATTGTTCAGAGTTTTCGCGGTTCGTGACTTCGTCACATCGCCCACTTGTATCATAATTATCAGATACGTGGTAATCGTTCCAATGACCTAAAAAAACAAATGTTAATTAAAGAATGATATAACTCACTAACAGCTATATATTAAAATTGAAATGAAATGTAAAATTATAGCTTGTAAATTCTAAATCCTATTTCTTATTTAATTAAAGGTCCATGTACTGCTTGAATAAACGTGTGGTCCAGATTGAAATATCCACGAGCCGTGAATACCACCGGATTTTGTATCAGCTGTAGGGTGAAATTTCGAATCTAAAAATGTCATTTTTCATCTGAATTTAGTGGATGTGTTTTTTTTTATAATCTTGCAACATACCTTTTTCTATATGTCTTGAATATTTACCTCTGCTCGAAATTCGTTGCTGGTGGATGGTTCGTACAGGTCGCAAATAACATCGCCCATAATTGTTACCTGTGAACAATTAATAATAGGAATTTCCATGTTTTTCATTTCTTTCAACTATTTTAATCTTGCACGATTTTAGATATATATTTTGAGAAACATATTTAAATAATACTTTTCTCTCTTTTTTTTTTTTTAATATTCTTCTATGTTCGTTAACATCTTTAAGCTTTCAAACGTTTATCGATGTGTATCGATAGTTTCTTCTGATAAAATGCTGTACCTCTGAGTTCGTTTTAGCACAAACGTAATTCACATGCAAGATTTGCGACGCGTAAACTAGGAACCAGCAAATCACGGAGACCAGTTCTTTTATAAGTTCATCCATGGTCAGATCCAGCCATATAATTCTGTACAATATGTAGAGGAAAGTAATGGTGAAGATAACCGATGTGATCATCAGCAACAGAATCTGCATGCCGAACGCGTCATTCACGACTTTCACGATCTTGATTATCTTTAGATGCATTTGCCTTTTCGAAAAAAATGTATGTTCGTATGAATGAATAATTTAATATTGTCAAAACTATTTATCGCACAGTCTCGCCTTAAAAAACTGAAATTTATATTATATTTCGTTCTTAAAAATTGACGTTTAATACCTTCCTCGATATTAAATTATCCATCGAAGTAAAACCTAATCTATTTCTTTTCTACGGTTTTATCTGTCTGCTGTAAAGACTAAATTTGAAGAATTTCGGGACGATATATTTATCGCAGTGCAGTTAAATTTCCTGATACATTCCAACTGTACAATTCGACAGAAACGTTTCTCCTCAAATATTTCGAACGAAAAGTTCTTTATCAATTTTAACAATTTTTAACAATTTTGTAAGATCGCTGCGAAAATACAAACGCGCAATCTCCAATCTTCTCTCATGCGTTATATCAAATATTCCTATTAAACAATTTTCTACTATCTCTTGCCACGCTAGACAGATTAACGTATAACATATGAGAAACGATACAGAGAACGTTTTGCGGTTTTCCGCTCAACGCAGAATCTCACTTTATTGATCTTATCTTGTTCGTGTTTCCATGGCTCCCTTGTTCATTCCTAAACGACCAGAATTTATTGTTCTCGAAATCGTTCTTCGTCTGTAGTAATCTTTTATGCAATGACGATTCCGGTGTCATCGTGGCCAACATACTATGAAGCAATTGATTCAGTTGTTGAAGCTTCAACCTCAAGCACCTACATTTTATACATTGTATTTTTTATGTATTTTTTCATTGGAACACTATCATAGTAGAACTCTATTTATCGTAATTTGTGGCGTAGTAAATGGTTCATCATTGTCACGGTTCTCGTTACTAGCGGATGATTCACAGAACATCTTTATAGACGATAATGCATAAGTATAATTGGAACGAGTTCACTTAATCGAGCACTGATTAAAATTTCATTTCTATAAATGGAATTCTACCGTAATTAAATATTTTGGAATATTTGAATAATTGAATAATTAATCGTTTTTGAATATTTGGTTTCATACGTGACCCAAAAGCCGAAGGTAGCGCTGGAAACGTAGATGACTACGAATGGAACGTGGGCTATCAAGGAAAGGCACAGTTTCATCATCGTTGGCGTGGATGTTGCAAAATGCCATTTGGAAGTGACTGCGACGAAAACGACTGTGATAAATCCGTAAACCACGAATTCCTTTATCTGATACATGAACAGCGTACGATACATTCGTGGCAATCCTATTCTTTCCATTGCTTGATCGTTCGTTTCTACAAGTGCGATCAAAGTACGTAATTTCTAGAAGACGAAAGACGTATTAAAATTACGAATAAATTCACCGGTCGTATGGTATTGGAACTTCGACTCTTTAAAACTATCTCGGATGAAAATTTACTGCTGTACATATTATTTTTTCTTTTTTTTTCAATTAAAAAATATAGATATATTAGATATATATCTAATTCAAAATAAAAATATAACACGGTCAATCTGAAAGTAATTATCGAGTGTTTCTAATCTACCGAATTTCAAAACTGGTGCCCCATAACATCCGAAAAATATGACATAGGTGTATCGTGTCTTCCCCTGTGGTCTTTGTATTTAAAATAAAACTTTTTCGAAACAAAGCGCTCAATTTACCTGCGCATTTAATCTGCTGGCGGCGATCAACGTGCTTAACGTCCAAAGATTCGCATAAATCAGTAATTTGAACGCGATTCGACTTAAGCTGAGCATGCTAATTATATAATATTTATTGAAATAAGGTACCATTAATATACCAACGACATTAACCAGTATCAAAACACACAGGGTGTACGCGTACTCTATCAGTTTCGATGGTTTTTTGCTAACAACGTCACTGATGCCCATTCCAAAAAGAAAATTTATCACTAACGACGGCACTATGGTTTGCCTGAGAGTTTTCGGTTTGAACATCGCGGATCAAAGTCGCGAGAACTTTAACAGTGGATAAACTTGAACACTCTACTTCTTTGCCATCCTTTCGGAATAGTTTTGAAGGATCATTATCGCGTCACGAATGTTAAATAGGCTGCTAAGTAATAACGAGCACAACAATTGCCTGCTCGTATCTGGATCGATATCGTTACGAGGATGAAATTGCTATGAGGAACAGTTAATGACGAGTCTATAGGATGAAATTGCGCATAGTAGAACTGTCTGATTAATATCGCAAAAGTAAGAATATTACTGTTGGGAAAGTGAAGGATATGATCTTATGCAATGTTTTTTTCCTTAGGTTTTTCTAAGAATATGGATCATGTTTGATTAGAGAATAAAAAGAATTATACCGATTTTTGAGAATAATGTGGAGCACCTGGAATCCAAGGTATGCAAATGACACTGATGATAATAATTGGGTAATAATTTGGTAAAATGTCAATAATTTGGTAAAATGTCAATAATTTGGTAAAATAACGAAGAGATAAGAATATTTTTGTAATTCATACGGGAATAAAAATATTATTTCATCGTAAGTGTTTTTTCCTTTAAATATATTTGTTACGACACATACGAGTTGTGGTATTTTACACCGAATCAAGCTCCAGTACACATACACTACGTTTCGTAAAGTCCTCAAATACTATCATTTCTTATACGTTATTAGATGTATATTTTATAGTTACGTTAACGAGATAAACAATGACGATTTTCCTAATTAGATTTTGTCGCGTTGTATGTCTTGTACCTTGTACCTCTACATATTTATGTGTAAGGATTGCAAATTGTACGGTGGCTTTGCGAGAGGAACGTTAATTACGAGACGCATTGTATTAATATTTAACACTCACAGACTTTACCTACGTGTTTCATAATTTTACAATACGATTCTATCGAGCACTATGCATAGTTATACTACTAAACTTGTATTCTCGTACAAGGTGGTGGTCTCGTTTGTGATTAATATTGGACCGTTCTTTATCAAGTTTTGGCTCCACTGTACCATAATAATCAAATAAGATATTACGAAGTTGAGACACTGTAAAACGTATATGAACAAATTTGTAATAAACAAATTTGTAACAAATCCATGTAAAGAAGTATACTAACGTAACGGACGAATCCATAGTTCAATATATAATCAACCGATTTCGTTTTTTCAAGTTGGGTGTACGATATTTGCCAAGAAAAATGGAGGATCTACCAATAGATTAATTCTACGTTAGTTACGATAATTTCATTTTAATCTGTAAATGATTAAAATTTCCATCCTTTACCTCATCTGTTAATTCTGCGTTTCCTTCGTGCACAGGATACGCGTGGATGTTTCCTATCGTTTTGTTAGCCTGAAAATCGATTGATCGTGTCAAACTCTGTTACTTGCTTTTTCCAAAACAGGGGCAAAATTTATTTCATTCCTGCTAAAGAACGTAAACATCTTATAACATACAACATGTTCGTTTCATAAAAATATGACCATATCGATACGTATACTGCAAAAATATGACAATTGTTCTGCAGGGAAATCTGTTTTTATTGGAAAATCGAGTAATGAAAGCCTTTTAAAATCGATGAACGAATGGTGGTATGTATCATAGCCTTTGAAACGAATTAAAATTAATTGTTAGTATTATTCCTAACGACGTACTAATTCCAAAGTAGCAAGTTATTATTCATAATTTAAGAAAATATGATTTGGTGAAAAATGACCAACGCAGCAGAGTTAAAGAATTAAAAATATAGTTTTTACCTGTTTCATTGTATATTCGCAGTCGTAGCTCATTAAAACGATTTTCAAGGTACCAACCACGCTATCCAACAAATATATCAATATAACATCCCATTGATCTTTTACGACATTAGACCCTCTGTGAAGAGTCATGTACAAGTTGTAAACACATATAGTAAAATATAGCAGAGTAGTAATCGTATATATTAATATTTGGGCGTTGAATATATCGTTCACCATCCTCGATACCTTGCACACTTGTAGATGCACGAACCTTTAAATTTGCGAATTTTCATATTTTTTTTTGTCGGAACACGTAAAATAATATATACTGACAGACAAATGAATGGGTAAATCTGAATTGCGTTAAACAAGAAAATTTACAAATTCTCAGCGCAAAATTAAAAGGGTGTATCAAATAATACGATAGGTTCATTGGACGAATAAAATTTTTTTTTATAAAGTAGCTTTGTCTTTCGTCGCCGTTTTATCTTATGTTTTCAATGGAGAGCATAAAAAACTGATAAAGATCCGTTGCTGTAACAGTTATTAATTCGATTTTTATTTACCTAATTTGTCGAAGCATGTGAACTTTTTCTTGGACGATCTTTTGTTTTACATTCGAAACTCCGCTCGTCGTAGATACTTCTAGAACATTTAAAGATCGTTCGGGCAGCCAATTGTTCAATTCAAATTTGTTTCGAACATTATGACTTGGTTCAAAGATGGTCTCCGTATTGGAGTCCTCTGCTTTTACTTTGTTTTTCTCCAAGAGGAACGTTTCGAGAAGCTCGTTTATCATCTTAATTCGCGATCCTAGCCAACTGTAATAACAGTATAATTTTGGAAAATAGGGAGAAGAATTATTTTGAAATATTTCAGAGTAAAATGTAATGAAAATATCGAATATAATCAAATGAAAGATGATAGTACAGATGATGAAGAGTATCTGTTTTTAATTGTTTACATACTAAATCGTTGTGTTGTATTCGTATAATACGACTGACTGGGCGTTCGTTATGTAACAGTAAATTAAGACAATAAGTGCTGTCCAAGGTGGTAGAAGGTTTTGTATTAAAATCTTTATAAAAACCGCAGATTCTACGACCGCATTTAGTAACCAGAATGATCCGACGATCGTTATATGTCGATGCAAACTGCGATACTCGATTTCACTTCCCAATTTCTTCAAATATTCGTCCACTTTGTCGATCTGTTTTATCAACGTCGATACGTTCTGAATGATAAACGAGTAAAAAGAAAAGTAATCGAGTTATTAAATTTGCGTAAAAATTTCATTGCTATATAATTAAAAGAAGATCCATTGTGTTTTCACCTTGGATTGGTACAGACCAATGATCACTATGCTTATGTATCCAAGTACATACGTGATATATTGGAATACGTATGTGACGCTTTCTATATTATACACCATGTGATATTTTCCATCTTCTATTTGTGAATGAATTGCGAAAACAGAAAGCACAACAATTAACAACGTGTTCCAAATCCAGCTACATATAAATTTGAATTGGTGTTTTCTTGGATCTATGAAGTTTCGAAGTGCCCCCATGTAGTTCAATATGGTTATTACCCTTGTTGTTGTCTCGTAATTTTTCATTCTTGCTTTTATCTATTTTTTAAATTTCAAGTAGAAAACGTGAACAATTTTTTAACTTTCCTTCAACGATATTAACCCGCGGCATTAACGTGACCCGTTTCTCTGTGCAACTAAAGGTGATAGCGACTCAAGTATTGCATATGCAACTATTAGAAGTAAGACAGAGCTTTATTAATAGAATGTCACAGGAATGTAGGAAGTTATAAAGTAGGAAAAGCAATTAGTTTAATTTCATTCGTTATCGATGAGTGGTACTTCACGGTAGAATAATAGTTATATCCAGAATGATTACTATCATTCCAGACAATTGCACTTATTGCTGCATTCGATATACTTGAAAAATGGTTAACGTTCTTGAGGTGTTTCAATTGATATTGCGTGGCATGAATATGTTTGCATTGATGCATTATATAAGTTTGCATGTCGCAGTCAGATAGGAAGTAAATAACATAATATTAATGAGGAAACAGGAAATTATTCCTAAACACCCCAAAATAGAATGAGGCTTTTTACTTTATGTTTTCATTTTATATTACTTTAAAATCATTTACTGCCTGGCAAAAAGCTTTCAAGCAATAGCAACATGACGTTGAAGTGGGAATAATGTGATGTTATTAATTTTGTTGGCAAACATATATGTTTTTTGTTATACAAACACTTCTCTCGATGCATCTCGTTATTTCATATAGGAAAGTATTAACTCGCTCGTGCCAAGAAATAATTTGCTTCGGGCATATTTTAATAAATTATGCTTTCGCAACGACATAACGAAATAAAAGCATCCAAAAATGTTCAATTTTTATGTACCATTATGTCATGAAATGTTGAAGGGATGAAGAACAAAGATTCTTTTCATTAAATTTTATCACGTTATATCTTGTACCTCGCACCTCAACATATCTTTAACGATTTAAAATCCTAAGGTGATTGTGTGAAGGAAGTCTTATTTATGAGGTGCAGTTTATTAATGATTAATTACAGTTCTCATGTGCGACTTTTACAATTCCATAATATGACGTTATCGAAAAGTATCCAACGTTATGCTATTATACCACTATGCTCGTATTCTCTTGTAACGTTTGAAAAGTGGTGGTTTCGTTTGCGATTATCATTGGATCGTTCTTTAGCAAGTTTTGGCTCCATTGTATCATAATCACCAAATAAGATATTACGAAGTTGAGACACTGTAAAAGTTAAACGAATAAATTTGTAACAAATTCAAGGAGAAATACATCCATGTATAGAAGTATACTAACGTAACGGACGAATCCATAGTTCAATATATAATGAACCGATTTCGTTTTCTCAAGTTGCGTGTACGATATTTGCCAACAAAAATGGAGGATCTACCAATAGATTAATTTTACGTTAGTTACGATAATTTCATTTTAATCTGTAAGTGAATAAAATTTCCATCCTTTACCTCATCTGTTAATTCTGCGTTTCCTTCGTGCACAGGATACGCGTGGATGTTTCCTATCGTTTTGTTAGCCTGAAAATCGATTGATCGTGTCAAACACTGTTACTTGCTTTTCCAAAACAGGGGCAAAATTTATTTCATTCCTGCTAAAGAACGTAAACATCTTATAACATACAACATGTCCGTTTCATAAAAATATGACCATATCGATACGTATACTGCAAAAATATGACAATTGTTCTGCAGGGAAATCTGTTTTTATTGGAAAATCGAATAATGGAAACTTTTTAAAATCGATCTACGAATGGTGGTATGTATCATACTCTTTGAAACGAATCAAAATTAATTGTTAGTATTTTTTTTAACGATATACTAATTCCGAACATCATCCCCAAATATGATTTGGTGAAAAATGACCAATGCAGCAGAGTTAAAGAATTAAAAATATATTTTTTACCTGTTTCATTGTATATTCGCAGTCGTAGCTCATTAAAGCGATCTTCAAGACTCCAACCATGCTGTCCAACAAATATATCACTGTCATATCGAATCGATCTATTATATCATTAGGATTTCTGTGATAAATCATGTACAAGCTGTAGACACATATAGTAAAGTATAGCAGTGTCGCAATCGTGTATATTAATATTTGGGCGTTGAATATATCGTTCACCATCCTCGATACCTTGCACACTTGTAGATGCACGAACCTTTAAATTTGCGAATTTTCATATTTTTTTTTGTCGGAACACGTAAAATAATATATACTGACAGACAAATGAATGGGTAAATCTGAATTGCGTTAAACAAGAAAATTTACAAATTCTCAGCGCAAAATTAAAAGGGTGTATCAAATAATACGATAGGTTCATTGGACGAATAAAATTTTTTTTTATAAAGTAGCTTTGTCTTTCGTCGCCGTTTTATCTTATGCTTTCAATGGAAAGCATAAAAAACTGATAACGATCCGTTGCTGTAACTGTCATTAATTCGATTTTTATTTACCTAATTTGCCGAAGTATATGAACTTTTTCTTGGACGATCTTTTGTTTTACATTCGAAACGCCGCTCGTCGTAGATACTTCTAGAATATTTAAAGATCGTTCGGGCAGCCAATTGTTCAATTCAAATTTGTTTCGAACATTATGACTTGGTTCAAAGATGGTCTCCGTATTGGAGTCCTCTGCTTTTACTTTGTTTTTCTCCAAGAGGAACGTTTCGAGAAGCTCGTTTATCATCTTAATTCGCGATCCTAGCCAACTGTAATAACAGTATAATTTTGGAAAATAGGGAGAAGAATTATTTTGAAATATTTCAGAGTAAAATGTAATGAAAATATCGAATATAATCAAATGAAGGATGATAGTACAGATGATGAAGAGTATCTGTTTTTAATTGTTTACATACTAAATCGCTGTGTTGTATTCGTATAATACGACTGACTGGGCGTTCGTTATGTAAAAGTAATCAAAGGTAATAAATTCTGCCAGAGATGATAAAAAGTTTTGTATTAAAATCTTTATGAAAATTACAGATGTTACGACCGCATTTAGTAACCAGAATGATCCGACGATCGTTATATGGCGGTGCAAACTGCGATACTCGATTTCAATTCCCAATTTCTTCAAATGTTCGTCCACTTTGTCGATCTGTTTTATCAACGCCGATACGTCCTGAATAATAAACGAGCAAAAACAAAAGTAGTCGAGTTATTAAATTTGCGTAAAAATTCCATTATTTCCAAAAAAAATTCCATTATTAATATAATTAAAAGAAGATTCATTTTGTTTTCACCTTGGATTTATACAGACCAATGAAGATTATGCTTATGTATCCAAGTACATGCGTGGTATATTGGAATAAGTATGTGACACTTTCTATGTTATACACCATGTGCTGTTTTATATTATGTGTCTGTATATGAATTGTGAAAACAGAAAGCACAACAATTAACAACGTGTTCCAAATCCAGCTACATATGAATTTGAATTGGTTTTTTCTTGGATCTATGAAGTTTCGGAGTGCCACCATGTAATTCAATATGGTTATTATCCTCGTTGTTGTCTCGTAATTTTTCATACTTGCTTTTATCTATTTCTTAAATTTCAAGTAGAAAACGTGAATAATTTTTTAACTTTTCTTCAACGATATTAACCCGCGGCATTAACGTGACCCGTTTCTCTGTGCAACTAAAGGTGATAGCGCCTCACGTATTATATATGCATCTATTAGAAGTAAGACAGAGTTTCATTAATAGAATGTCATAGGAATGTAGGAAGTTATAAAGTAGGAAAAGCAATTAGTTTAATTTCGTTCGTTATCAACGAATCGTACTTCATGACAGAATAATTGTTATAGTCCCGAATGATTACGATCACTCCAGACAATTGCACTTATTGTTGCATTCGATATACTTGAAAAATGGTTAATGTTCTTGAGGTGTTTCAATTGATAGTGCGTGGCATGAATATGTTTGCATTGATGCATTATATATGTTTGTATGTCGCAGTCAGGTAGGAAGTAAATAACATAATATTAATGAGGAAACAGGAAATTATTCCTAACCACCCTAAATAGAATGAGTCTTTTTACTTTATGTCTTCACATTATATTACTTTAAAATCATTTACTGCGTGGCAAAAGTCTTCGAAGCAACGGTGAAATGACGTTGAAGAGGAAATGCTCTGATGTTATTAATTTTGTTGCGAAACACATATTTTTTGATATACAAACACTTCTCTCGATGCATCTCGATATTTCGATATTTATGATTTCGAAACGACGCAATGAAATAAAAGCATCGAAACATTCTCAATCTTTATGTACCACTGTATCTTGAAATGTTGAAGGAACGAAGAACTAAGATTCTTTTGATTATATTTTATCACGTTGTATCTTGTACCTCGTCTTCAATATACCTTTAACGATTGAAGGTCCTAAGGTGATTGTGTGAAAGAAGTCTTATGTACGAGGTGCAGTTTATTAATCTTTAATTACAGTTTTTATGTGTGGCTTTTATAATTCCATAACATGACGCTATCGAAAAGTGTCCAACGTTATACTATTATACCACTATGCTCGTATTCTCTTGTAACGTTTGAAAGGTGGTGGTTTTGTTTGTGATTATTATTGAATCCTTCTTTATCAAATGCTGGCTCCATTGTATCATAATCACCAAATAAGATATTAGGAAATTAAGACACTGTAAAAATTACACGAATAAATTTTTAATAAATCTAAGGAGAAATAAATCCATGTAAAGTAGTATACTAACGTAACGAATGAATCCGTAGTTCAATATATAATCAACCGATTTCGTTTTTTCAAGTTGGGTGTACGATATTTGCCAACAAAAATGGAGGATCTACCAATAGATTAATTCTACGTAAGTTCGGATAATTTCATTTTAATCTGTAAATGATTAAAATTTCCATCCTTTACCTCATCTGTTAATTCTGCGTTTCCTTCGTGTACAGGATACGCGTGGATGTTTCCTATCGTTTTGTTAGCCTGAAAATCGATTGATCGAGTCAAACTCTGTTACTTGCTTTTTCCAAAACAAGGGCAAAATTTATTTCATTCCTGCTAAAGAACGTAAACATCTTATAACATACAACATGTTCGTTTCATAAAAATATGACCATATCGATGCGTATACTGTAAAAATATGACAATTGTTCTGCAGGGAAATCTGTTTTTATTGGAAAATCGAGTAATGAAAGCCTTTTAAAATCGATGAACGAATGGTGGTATGTATCATAGTCTTTGAAACGAATCAAAATTAATTGTTAGTATTATTCCTAACGACGTACTAATTCCACAGTAGCAAGTTATTATTCATAATTTAAGAAAATATGATTTGGTGAAAAATGACCAACGCAGCAGAGTTAAAGAATTAAAAATATAGTTTTTACCTGTTTCATTGTGTATTCGCAGTCGTAACTCATTAAAGCGATCTTCAAGACTCCAACCACGCTGTCCAACATATATATTGATGCCATATCCAATTGATCTATTAAAAAATTAAGCCCTCTGTGAAGATTCATGTAGAAGCTGTAGGCACATATAGTACAATGTAGCAGTGTCGTAATCGTGTATATTAATATTTGGACGTTGAATATATCGTTCACCATCCTCGATACCTTGCACACTTGTAGATGCACGAACCTTTAAATTTGCAAATTTTCATATTTTTATTTATTTGTCGAAATATGTAAAATAATATATACTGACAGACAAATGAATGGGTAAATCTGAATTGCGTTAAACAAGAAAATTTACAAATTCTCAGCATCAAATTAAAAGGGAGTATAGAATCATACGATAGGTTCATTCGACGAATAAAATTTTGTTTTACAAAGTAGCTTTGTTTTTCTTCGCCGTTTTATCTTATGTTTCGAATGGGAAACATAAAAAACTGATAACGATCCGTTGCTGTAACTGTCATTAATTCGATTTTTATTTACCTAATTTGCCGAAGTATATGAACTTTTTCTTGGACGATCTTTTGTTTTACATTCGAAACGCCGCTCGTCGTGGATACTTCTGGAACATTTAAAGATCGTTCGGACAGCCAATTGTTCAATTCAAATCTATTTCGAACATTATGACTTGGTTCAAAGATGGTCTCCGTATTGGAGTCTTCTGCTTTTACTTTGTATTTCTCCAAGAGGAACGTTTCGAGAAGCTCGTTTATCATCTTAAATCGCGATCCTAGCCAACTGTAATATCAGTAAAATTTTGAAAGATAGGGGAAAGAATTATATTGAAATATTTTAGAGTAAAATGTAATGAAAATATCGAATATAATTCAACGAAGCATGATGGTACAGATGATGAACAATATCTGCTTTTTAATTGTTTACATACTAAATCGCTGTGTTGTAGTCGTATAATACGACTGATTGGGCGTTCGTTATATAATACAAAACAAAGGTAATAAATGCTTCCGGAGGCTGTAAAATGTTGTGTATTAAAATCTTTATGAAAATTGCAGATTCTACGACCGCATTTAGTAACCACAATGATCCGACGATCGTTATATGGCGGTGCAAACTGCGATACTCGATTTCAATTCCCAATTTCTTCAAATGTTCGTCCACTTTGTCGATCTGTTTTATCAACGCCGATACGTTCTGGATAATAAACGAGTAAAAACAAAAGTAATGAAGTTATTAAATTTGCGTAAAAACTTCATTGCTATATAATTAAAAGAAGATCCATTGTGTTTTCACCTTGGATTGGTACAGACCAATGATCACTATGCTTATGTATCCAAGTACATGCGTGGTATATTGGAACATGTATGTGACGCTTTCTATGTTATACACCATGTGATATTTTATATTTTGTATTTGTGAATGAATTGCGAAAACAGAAAACACAACAATTAACAACGTGTTCCAAATCCAGCTACATATAAATTTGAATTGGTGTTTTCTTGGATCTATGAAGTTTCGAACTGCCACTATGTAATTCAATATGGTTATTATCCTCGTTGTTGTCTCGTAATTTTTCATTCTAATTCAATATGGTTATTATCCTCCAATATGGTTATTATCCTCGTTGTTGTCTCGTAATTTTTCATTCTTGCTTTTATCTATTTTTTAAATTTCAAGTAGAAAACGTGAATAATTTTTTAACTTTTCTTCAACGATATTAACCCGCGGCATTAACGTGACTCGCATTTCCGTGCAACTAAAGTTGATAGGGACTCAGGTATTGCATATGCAACTATTAGAAGTAAGGCAGAGTTTCATTAATAGAATGTCATAGGAGCGTAGAAAGTTATAAAGTAGAAATCGCAATTAATTTGATTTCATTCCTTATCGACGAATGGTACTTCTTGGTAGAATAATGATGATAATCCCGAATGATCGCGATCACTTTAGGAAATTGTTTTTATTGCTGTATTCGATGTACTTGAAAAATTGTTGATGTTCTTGAGGTGTTTCAATTGGTATTGCGTGGCATGAATATGTTTGCATTGATGCATTATATATGTTTGTATGTCGCAGTCAGATAGGAAGTAAATAACATAATATTAATGAGAAAACGGGAAATTATTCCTAAATACTCTAAGATAGAGTGAGGCTTTTTACTTTATGTTTTCATTTTATATTACTTTAAAATCATTTACTGCCTGGCAAAAAGCTTTCAAGCAATAGTGACATGACGTTGAAGCGGGAATAATGTGATGTTATTAATTTGTTGGCAAACATATATGCTTTTTGTTATACAAACACTTCTCTCGATGCATCTCGTTATTTCGTATAGGAAAATATTAACTCGCTCGTGCCAAGAA